ATTTTAATGCACCGACCTAATTACTTTGATACTACCGACGTATCGAGAGAAACTGCCTCGACTATTCTCGTTCACTGCAGCATTCGGCTATGTTATCTCATACAGGTGGTCAGTGAGCCACATCAGCACGCCAGCACATTGACAGGCTTGGTACAACTGGTTTTGACCCCAGGTTTGTGTGTCGTCTCCTGCATACAAATTGCCCGAATCGAGAGACGGACAACCTCTTTTCCTTAATTACAGGCATCAGGTTAACAAGTTCGGTACCCAGCCCTAGTTATTTGTCCATTTGTTAATCTGGATGTTGTACTCACAGCTGCTGTGTTTTCTTTCGGTTGGCTCCTCTGACTGTTGAGACTCCCGATCTCAGTCTGAGAGCTTGACTGAGAAATCCCCTCAAAGAAAGGCCTGTTGGTCAGATATCACAGCACATACAGGCCCCTTTTATTTGCGACAACAACAAACAACAAACAAACAAGTCGAAACAGTGTAAATATGTGTAACAGCGGTGGTGGGTGAGGGAGAGTCCAAAATGGAGGACACATTAGCTGTGTCCCAATCCAGCTTTATTTAAAAAACACATCCCATTGGCTAATCAACTTGCTACTTCAGGCTGTAGCTGAGAGGAAGTTACATATCAAATTATATGTACCGTTTGTCGATATCACACAGTGTCGACTTTGAATCTTGCTAGCGTAATGTTAGCTCTCTGGCTCGTCTTATAACATTAGCTTTCTGGCTAATATTCAACTCTGTTCCAGAATTCCTTGTTGGGCATTATCACTTACATTAATATGTATGTTGGACAGCTGAGGTGAGCTGTTTCCGCTGTCTGAGTCTGACCTGAGTTTGGGTTTGGGCGTGCTGAGGATGCTGTCGTTGTCATCCTGCTCCGGGCCGCTATCGCTCGGGTTGTAAACCTCAAGACTGTCGTACAGCAGGTCCAGGTCCTCCTCAACCTCCTGACTCTGACCCACCGGATCTGAATCCAGAACCTATGGAAAATAATCAGCCAGGCATCATTATATGTATATATCCAGAAATGTCTGGGTATCATATGAGACTAGGGCTGCGTTTCATTAGTCGTTCAACATGCCCTCGTTCACTTGCCCTCGGCACTTGCCCTCGGGGGAATCCCCGTCGCCATCATAAGTGTCGTTCAACTGAAGTGAACTTGGTGAGATGGACCTCGGAGGGCTGAGGGAGCAAGTGAACAACGATTGGTCATCCGAGGTGGATATCACACCCAAATGCATTGCAGTTTACGTCATTGCCGCTATAACTCGACGGGCTGCCAATGAGGGCAAGTGCGTTTCATTTAAATCCCCCGCTCCTCCCCCGCCCACTTTCCCTCCGCGCTCCAAGTGGCCTCCGTGCGACGTATGCTGTTACGTCATACCAAGGGCTGAGGGGAAGTGAACGAGGGGAAGTGGAACTACTAATGAAACGCAGCCTCAGAGCCAGAGTGAGGAAGGAGACCACACCCATACACAGGGCACAACGAGAACAACACAGGGAACAGCCATGGCCATGACAAACGAAATATTACAGGAAAGGCTTATTTTAAATTACACATCAGTAATCTCATATTTTTTTCATTATAAATCTTGAATTCTTTTGATAATATATGTTTTTAAATTAATTAATTTAATTTCTGAAAAATAAGATACCTCCATGTACCACTAGAAGGAGCTTGTGTACCACCAGTCCTACACATACCACAGATTGAGAACCAGTGTCATAAAATGTGTATAAGTAACTCCTGGAACATGTACTGAGTTACAGGAGTTAGAACAGTTAAACAGTGAGGTGACATAAGCTCTCTCCACTCCTTGTCAGCATTGGCAGTAGTGAGGAAGAGGAACTGCAATCTAATTAGGGCTTGAGTAACACCAAGAGTCAAAATTCTCTCTAGTGCCACTATCTTTGATTGGAATCAGTTGCCATGTTCAGATTGGAATTTTAAATACATCCATGATGACATTAACAGCCCAACGATGAGGAGCCCCACCTACCTAAGGAAAATAAACCACTTAGGCTCTCTCTGCAGGGCTTACGTTGCAAAGTACTGTAGTTTCCTTCCTTTTTGCCTTCTGGTCTAATCTTGCTTAGTCAGAGAAAGGGGCTTTGAGGCTCCAACCCTTTTTTTATGAAATGTCTGTCAATCTAAAACTCCAATCTTCTTTCACTATCACCCTGCTAACACTAACACTGACCATATCACACAACACTATAGAATGACACTTTTGTTTCATTGTGATCAAACCTTTCTTGCTGGGAGTTGTGTCCCAGCATACTGTAAGCAGCACCTTTAAGCTAACACCCCGCTGCGCAAACATCCAGACTGTTAAATGTCATATGTGTCCGATGCCTGTTTGCTGTCTGACCACTTTAAATGCACGTGTACATACCAAGTATTTTAAAGCTTTAACTGTACAGTGTTATGTTAATATATACTGTAAATATCTATGAATGAATACTTTGTGTGTGGTATTTTGTGACTGGGTGGTTGATAATCATTCTCCTCCATTATTCCACACATAATCATTATTGTAATCTCTATTTGTAATTCAGTCACTATACCTAGCCAATCTGGCTCTTCAACACAACAAAACCTAACCTCACTTTCCATCTAAATACTAAATCCAACTCAACCTTAACCTTACTGATGCATAGGTAAGTGTTAAGTCCTTGATTTTTTTTCCTTTGGACAAGTCTTTATTAAAACTTAATTATCCACAGTGTATATTTACTGTGTGCTGTGCATCTAACAGTGTCAGTCTCTTGCAGATCGTCAGTAGCCTTCTGCCACAGTGCCGCTCCTCGTACCCTCCCCACAGCTGAGGGTTTGAATGTCCTCAACCCCCTTCACGGGTAAAAGCAACATCATGGTCACACTACCAGCTCCCCCTTTACGCCACAAGTTGTCCCATTTTTCTCTAATTATAGAACACATAGATTTCAAAATATTATCTTGTTAGTCTGAAGACTGGTTGAGTGCCCCCTAAAAATACAAAACCCCACATATCTTCGAAGGAGGATTTCCTTTTCTATGAGAAGTGTTAAAGGTCCAGTGTGTAACATTTAGGTAGATCTGCTGGCAAAAATAGAATATAATATTTATAGGTATGTTTTCATTATGTTAGAGTGAGCTTTTTATATCTACATATATATATATTTTATTTTTATTTTATATTTTATTTCTACTGTCCACCATGTTGAACCGCCATTTTTTCTACAGTAGTCCTGAACAAACCAAACACAAGCTCTAGATAGGGCCTTTTGGTGGCCAACATAGTTTCTCCTACATGATTGGAAGGCTAGTGGTTATTTAGTTGGTTGCAGTCATAGACTGTATTAAAAGAATGGACTGTCTCTGTGAGGTCACCAACAGGTTTCTGAAGAGCCATTGTGAAGCTCAGTGTGGTTGGCTCTGGTTGTCGCCATCTTGGCAGTCCTGACTCTGCCAGCTCCCAGCTAATCCAAAAATGGGTGGAGCGTGGGTGGGGCTGAGGCAGGCTGAATGAAGCCTGGTTTGAAAACAGCCATCTGTGATGGCACCCACCCATCGAGTTACACATAACTTTAAGCCTTAGTATAATTCAAATGGGTGTGTTATATAAAAAATTCACCCCTGTAGAGTGATAAAACAAGTTATTTTTCGTCATGAATGGGGGAATTAGCTATAGAGCCCAAAACAGTTTTTTGTACCAGGCTGTAAACATATTTAATTCTGCTGTAAAGTTAGGCGTAAGGAGATTGACTTACTTCTAGAGCCAGTGTCAGTGGCTGTTAGAGGAACTGCAGGTTTTGGCACTAACGCGTTTGCTTTATTTGCTAGCCACGGAGGTTGCTGCTTGCAATCTGCAACTTCACTGCTAGGTGCCACTAAATTTTACACACTGGTCCTTTAAAGGAATAATTTGTGTCTCTATAATGCCAACTGAATTGTCTCAACAACTATTCGATACATTGCCATAAAATGTGTTATAGATGTTTCCCTTCATTATGAATTGAATCAAAAATCAATTGATTGAAAGTACAGCCTCACAGAGCCATTAGCATGACTGTAGACTCTTAGTCTTGTTCACCTGTTTTCTGTATAAACCATCCTCAATGTCTATTTTAAGTATGCAAGCTAATGATAATGCAAAGATAGGTGACAAGTAGGGTCATTTTAGATGCTATGCACAGCACGTAACATGAATAGTGCATTGCTATAAAATTGTAAGACCTTTGTGGCCCTATTTGTATATTGCAAAACAATGACTTTGTCTCACCTCTGCAAAATACAAAAGAATATGTTACAATATGCTACCACTGGGCACTTATGCTCTACAATGTAGCTCAACCATGTCCTCTACTCCTTGCTCTCTTGTTCTCAGCAGCAGCGTGTCCACCCTCTTGGATCAACCAACAGATGCCCACCATGAGTGCCTCCTGTCTGGCTTCCTCAGTCCCCCCTGGGTCCTCTCATCACCTGACCCCTGACCTGTGACACTGCTGACCCAAAGACTTACCCAACATTTTAACCAAAGGACCTTGCTCCACCCCCACCTGAAACCTGTCCCAAAATGCCTCTACAGGGAGTGCCTGGCTCACACTTACATTGCTATAGAGAAGCAGTGCTACTGTGACACTTGCTACTGCCAGCAGAGCCATATGGACCTCTTGACACAGCCATTGCCAGTATATTTATCCATGTATTCATCCATTCAGTTTAGGTTTTGAATCTTCAAGTCCTCTTTTTGTGTCACCCACAGTAGTGGTTATTGTATATGTTTTCGCAATAGCATAAACATTTGGTTGAAGTGTGTTTCTGTGTATCACAACAGTATGGCACCATACAAGTATGTAAACCCTTGTGTGTATTTCATAAAGCATGTGCAGCTGTATAGATTCTGGCTTTCAATGCTTTAAACATTGCTGCTTCTTTTTAACCCATGTGTGAAGCATCGCATTGCATTCTTTATATTATTCCTACACATAAAGTACTCTTCATTAATAAGCACAAACTGAAGCAATGCATTCCAAAAACGTGTTGTGTGTGACTGTTAGCATCATATCAAAAGCTGCAACAAGCTGACAGTACATCAATATTCAACATGTCCTGTTGTGCAGTTGACAGTGCTTGGATGTAACTTCAGACAGCGCAATAACAGTCAGGCTCCTCCGCGCCCTTTCACAGTGAAATAGGACTTTGTTATCAATCCACAATTGCTGATTCACAGCAGCGCTCACTCAACTGCCAAAAGCTGAAGCCAACAGGACCCAACTGGATATGAGCTGCAGTCTGGGGAGAAAGATAATGTGTATCATTTGAAAACGACTAGTGATCGCATCTGATGAGTAGATCTCTGCACAGGAAAGACGTAACCAGGAGGTTTAGTCACTCCCTGACTTTACCACAATGTGCAGTACTAAAAATATATCATATCCTGCAAGTTTACTTGCATTAGGTTCAAGTACCACTTTGTCTCTGTGGGTACAGATGGAGCCTGAATACTGCAACACAAAAATATGATACATTTTTCTTTCCATGATTTCATAAGACTGTGCTGTCAGGATGTTATTGTTATTAACTTGATGATCATTAATAAGCAATATTAAAGCCTCCCTTTCAAATCAGAAATAAACTACTGAAACTTAAGTTTGCTTTTTTTTCAACCTGTTTTATCCATAGACTGTTTAAAACATGGCTGTTGGTGATATCATACACAGGTTTTTTAATCAATATTTAAAGACTTTGTTTGCTTGCTTCCATCTGAAAGGAGGAACTTCCAGTTTTGAGGTGAGGAAGCCTCAGTGTCAATCCAGTAAACTCCCCAGAACAGGGTTTTCTTTAAAAGGTCCAGTGTGTAAGATTTAGGATGATCTATTGTCAGAAATAGACATATGTCAATGTACTGTCCCTCCCTTCCCCCACACCTCTATGTTGGTACAGAGTGTACAAAGAATGTATTGTAAAGTTTTATGGGATCAAACAATATAAATCTGATTAGTTGGAATGTAAAGGGGATTTCAAATAAAACAAAAAGATATAAAATTATAACTCATTTGAAATCCCTATCATGTGACTTGGCAATGCTCCAAGAGACCCATCTTAACGAAGCAGAATCACTCAAATTGCGACAAAGATGGGTTGGG